CCTGTGTGTTAAGTGGTATAATAACGTGAGTAATTTTGAAGTTAGGTATCGGTCGAGTGCTAGGTAGGTGGGCGGGGGTGGGTGGGTGAAATCAATCGACGAGGTTGTAAAGTTACATCGATTGGGTTAGATGGTTAGGACATGTGTTACACATGCCGAGGCATCCATCACTTCTTCGACGGCAGCCAATGTTAGTTGACATAGAGTCAGACTGGAAAAGAGCTAGCGGTGGTCAAACCAAAACATGGCAACAGTCAATGAAATCGACAACAGTTAGTTTGAGCCAGTCATGTAGGAAGGTGTAGACTTCCTGACTAGTTGGGGTCCTCGGGACGGTAAAAACCTATGAAGGTTGGAAACAATTAGTGATATGGATGGCTCAAAATCGTTCACAATGACTGGCCGGTGCAGATGCATCCACTCCTTGTGACTTATGATATCAAATGAAACTATATGGTTCTTCGATATTACTATTGCTTTTTTCTGATATCTCTGTTTACTGTCTCTGTATTATGCATTTCTTCTACTTTCTTCTCTTGATTTGTGTGCTACTTGGGGTGAAGTGTGGCGACTTGATCTGCTGCACAGATGTGTGCAAAGTTCTATGTCGAAAACAGACAGACATGTAGACAGGAAAAAAGAGGTTAATAACTACAAAGTTAGTTGAAACACATTGAAATAAGTATCAATGTTGTGGATTAGATCGTTCACAGGTGGGATTTTATTAACAAAAACTATTCTTCCGTTGCATTCAAACCGTGCACTTAACTTCTAAAACACCTTAACATGATCCACTAGGAGATGCAAACTAATTTTTGTGTACTCAGAATTTGCTTTTATTTTAATTCGTGATTTTGAGTCGACGTGAAAATGCACTATGACACATACTAGGAGCTCAGGTACATCCAGCTGACAAGTCTTATGTAGAACGAAAGGGGTGCATCCTGGATTCCTTCACTCACATAGTCGCTATCCACCAATATTACCCTAGGTTAATCCTTAGACATATCATTGAAGCGTCTATGCTAGCAGCTGACATTTCAGTCTAATCAATCAATGAGATAATCAAAATTCGATTAAAAACCTCATAATAATACCTGATAACCGTTGCATAAGAAGTGGTGGCTGTCGTGGTCCAAGTAGTCTAGTGGATAACAGGCTTTGGCGTTTGAAATGATAGGTGAACTTGGGGAATACCATCACATCAGTCACTAGGAATTCAGGTACATTCAGCTGACAAAGTGTCAAATAGGATGGAATATTCCCACTCTAAGGGATTCCACTGCTAGTCACCGTTTGCCAAAATAACTTCACATTAGTTTTAAGACATATCTCTGAAATGTTCCTACTAGAAGCTGAAAAGACAAGGGACCGAGTATTTCAGTCCACATCGGGAACTTAGGTGTGTGTGTGTTTGTGTTTGTGGGGATTTACTGATGAACCAGTTGTTCTGTTTCACTTTGGAATTTTCTTAACAACACGTATTCACTATATTGATCTGAGAGATTGCACAACTTCCAGTCAACTTACTGGCCTTCTTCTTCCATTTGTATTGTTCATTATTATCATTCTCTTGGATTTTGAGTAGAACATAGGGGTTCAACAACACACATAGACTTTGTTCAATTTGGTGCTCTCCTCTTCAGCTGGGTCCACGATGGAGCATGGTCGCTCATCGCTTCCTTTTCCACCTTCTCGCCACACGATCTCCTTCATGTCACCCTCACACCGATGACCTATTCATCACTTCCCATTAGGATTCCACTCGAGTGATGGGCTCCATCAAGCACGCGCGCGCGCAATCGGCTGTTGGTTAGTTTGTCTCCCCTTAGAGTTTCTTGTCGTTAATTCTTCCTGACCCTCCGACTGGCCATTTGATCTCCAGTGTGAAGCGAAGACAGCCTAGTTTACGAGGTTGCTAGTTTTCTAGCCAGTCGCAAGTTCGGGTAAAGAGAGGGAAGGTTGCGTGTGGGGGTGGTTACTAAATCTACCCCACAAAACCAATAAAACTGTTCCAGAAACCTCAACATACAATAAAAATATTAAAAATGCACAAAATATGATTCTATAATGTATTCAAATTCAAAATTTTGCACATATGGGCATAAATGTGTCCAAATAAACTAGTTCATCTCACTTCTAATTTCCCTTCTATCTTTTGAATAACTTTGTGACATGTCGTTTGCAACTGTCAGTCTTTTAAAAATTTCAATTATTCCCTCAATTTTATCATTAACTAGTTTTGAGATACACATCATTGCTGAATTTCTTTTTCAACCGTTTTGACGACTTAAAGTTTTTATAATAAGTAGAAAAAATATGAGAAAAAATTCTCATTTCCTAAACTGGGATGAAACAGCTGGTTGTTCAGTATTCACTGGTTCGATTTTCAATGGTTCTGTAACTGGTTCTTTAACATTTGATAGTGTGTATGTAAGTGTAGGGGAGAGTGGGGACAGAGGGGTTGTGTTGGTTCGATGCTTTATGCGAAAATAAGCGATTTCAAGTTATAATGGTTGATGGTGTGACTAGCCATTTGCAATCCAGTAGATGCTCATTTCGTCATTCTTGGGACTTCTTCAACTTGATATACGTGCATCCTCCATTGAGTGGATGAGTGAGTGATGATCGCTTCCCCTGCCGACGCACACCTGATATCTATGGTCGGCCTGCAAAATTTCGGCTACCGATATCCATGCTGAAAACTCCATACTTGTACCAAAAGTACAGTGTGGAATCAAGCTGTAATCAAAAATTAAATTAAATTCTACAGAGACTCAAACCCGGCACTCATTGTCACACGATATGTGAAGCTGGCTGTGAACAACTGATATGTACCCACATGATGTGTATTTTGTTTTGACAGTCTGTTATATTTTGCCATGTGTATTATTATTATTGTGTTCTTTAGTTCCTAGAGGAACATAGGGCTTCAGCTGCGCGTCTCCATTGCCTTCTGTTTTCTGCCAACTTTTTCACCCCGCTCCACGTCTGTCCACATACTTTCATCTCCTCCTCGCATGACCTCCTCCAAGTCAGCCTTGTACTGATGACCAACTCGCCGCTTCCACTCGAGTGATGGCTTGTCTAGTGATGTCACTTGATGGTTCCCTCAGAGTATGGCCAATCCACCTCCATTTCTTCCTGCATATTTGTTGCACAATCGGTTTCTCTTATGTTGGTTCGCTCATTGCCAGAGATCCCTGTTCCTGATCTTTTCTTACCGGCCATCTGATCTTGAGTAGTACCGAGCGAAGACAACTGTTAATGAAGGTCTGAAGTTTGTTGGAGATGGTATTTATGACGCGCTGGCCAAGTCTTTGATCCGTATAGTGAGTAGCACTGATTTCACATTGGAGTTGAAAATCCGGATCTTAATTTCGATGCAGAGTGCTGTTGACCTCCCCACAGACTCACTTGAGAGTAATGAAAGCTTGTCTTGCTTTTCCGATTCTGGCTTTGATATCCTCATCAGATCCGTCCGCCTGTAGTTGAGACGATGCTTCCCAGGTAGGTGAAGGAGGCTGTTTCTTTCAGGTTCCTCCCATTTATGCTGATTGTTGTCTGTTGTTGTTGTTGCTGTTGGTGTTGGTCAGGAATCTTCATCACCTCTGTTTTATCTATGTTCACTTGAAGTCCTACCTTTGATGCTCGCCTTTTCTGCCAACTTGTTGCTTTTCACTTGCATATCTTCCAGTGTTTGTGGGAAATCAGACATATATCATCAGCGAAGTCCAGATCCTCCAAGTTCTTTTTTTGTGAGTCCATTTTATGCCGGTTTCCTCATTGGCCGTTGTCTGTCGCATTATCCAGTCTACTGCAATCAGGAAGATCATTGGCGATAGCAGACAGCAGCTTGCCTCGCTCCCGTTCTCACTTCGAAGGCTTCCGTAAGTTTCCTGTTGTGGATTACTTGGCATGCAGCATTGTCGTATAACTGTTGGATGAGATGTATAATTGTCGATGGGACCCCTTGGTAGTAGCGAGTAGTTTCCAAATCACTTCTCGATCGACGCTGCACTATCGAAGGCCTTTTCAAAGTGGATGAAGTTGAGATAGAGAGGTGACTGCCATTCCAAGCTTTGTTGAATGATGATCCGTAGAGCGGCGATTTGATCAATACATGATTTGTTTCTCCTGAATCCGGCCTGTTCCGGTCAAAGTTTTTCATTTGCTATGTGTATATGGATCGATATTCATTATAACTGACAATATGCTTTTGTCTCTCCACTAACTAAATAAACAATGTATGACTTGTTATCACATGGCATTACAACCAATATGGTAAGACTGGCTATCTTATTGGTTCACGTGTATTAGCCATTTTCATACATACTCTTTGTACTGAATTCTTGTTCACACATTTCGTACATTACGTACCATTTCACTCACACACTTGTGTGACATTTATTTTCCTTGTCTGGAAAATACAAGTATCATCGTAAACCTCGTGGTCTTCTGATTTCCCTCTTTTAGCGTCAGGACTATTAACTAACTACTCGACGAGTACATAACAACAACTGAGTAGAAATGCAAATTGTTCTCATTTCCTTGTGAGCATTTCGTTTCACCATGTATGAATGTGTTTGTGGTTAGGAAACATTATAACCTTCAGTATTATTTATAAAGTTATATTTGTAAAAATCTCAGCGAAATTGAAATAATTAATTCCAACGTTTCGTTCGGCAATCTGGTCCGAACTTCTTCAGGGAAATTAATCGAAATTAACATAACAAAGTTTATATATAAAGGGACACATCTTGTTTTTAAAATTCTTGTCCAATCATGAATCGTGCAATAGGTATCAACATGTATCATAAATAAACAAATGGAATTGTATGTTTACATAAAAGTACATCTCTTATTTTTAAAATATGTATGAACTATGACTTCAGTATTATTATTATTATTATTACGTATTACTCATTATCGTGTAGTACATTTGTGTGAGTTTGTTGTTTTAGTTGACACTTTCGAGTTATTCTTTTGTTGTGTTGCAGGAATTAGGTTTGATTCGTCGACCAGTTGCATTTACTTCAACGATATGCGATGATCGTGGTGAAGAATTACTATATGCTGGATTGCCTATTAGTCAAGTGATTGAAGAAGAATTAGGCATTGGTGGAGTTCTTAGCTTGCTGTGGTTTAAACGAAGGTTGGTTATTCAGACGTTTTTCTTCTCACTAACACCCCCGCCCCCACTCCCGCTTTATTCCCCATTACTCTTGCCTATGTAAATAAATTTTCATGTGTTGGTTTGCAGCGATCTGATTGGTTACAGGGGCTGATCACGAACTGATATCAGTTAGAGAACCATTTATTGGAAAACCAGCTGGGAGTACTGAACATCTGTTTCATCCTAGCCTCTTGGGGCTCTTCATCGGTACGCGTCCACTGAGGGGGGGGGTCGAACCCAGGACCTTATCCTTAGGAAGCCACACTGAGAGCCGACTCCCCAACGGTTAACCCATGAATTACAACTTCTTTTAATTCGTGATACATATAGCACAACCGCCAACCAATACCATTGGCAAGTAACTGTTTGCCTACCTGACTTTGTGGAACCTGCTGGTGGTAACGACTTCTCACTAGAACTCCAGGGAACTTCCCTATAGAACTAGACGCTAGTGAGCATCACATTAATCATCGAGTGTATCGGTTAGTTACCAATGAAAGCCTTGCAAACCAACACTTTACAGAATTCTTACGACCTCAGATGGGGATAATGACTGACAACTTCTCATTGTTATAGTATTAGTAATTGACATTCGCATGGACTGACTATTGATATCTTTCGATTTATACCCACTACACAGCAGATCCGTCTTCTGGTTCTGGCTGACTTACTCGTAAACTTCTGTTATCCGTCAGTAAGGCAAACCAAAGACAGTGAGAAGGTTAGGCGTCAGGCTAGCAACCCCATCTTGTAGAAGATAAAGAACACATCACTACTTTTTGAAACTTCAAAACTCAAACTTGAAGCCTTAAATCCAACTCAGAATGTAATCCTAGTTATCTTCAGTCATTCTTGAAAGTGAGAAAGACAATCTCATAGAATGCTTTCATGGTGAAACTGATTAACTGGTATATATATATATCCTTGCAATAGTTAATTCACAATAAACCACAGCTATCCTGTAAAGGTTGATGACACCGTATAGCTGTCAAAACCTCAGTTGGTTGAACGGGGCTTTTACTCATGAGTCGGCGGTTAGAAGCCGATCGTGTGTGTGTGTGTGTATATGATCAGAAGAACCTCCCCCTTCCTCTTGAAAAGACTTCATTATTCATCCGGACTAGAGAAATAAAAATGAAGCAGCAGGGAGAGAGTGGCTGTATATGTCAAAGAGGTTGATAAGTTTTAACTGCTTGTTTCTATCTTTTATACACTATCTCTAATCGCCAAATCATTACAGGAGCAATTGTCTGTGAATAATTCTCCGTTCTCATTCATTTCGGTTAGTGAGAGCCTCTCGACCTTTGATGAGTTCTCTTCCTGTATTATCATATTCCTGCTTGGCATTCATTTCGCCCATTAGGATTTTGATGTTATACACTTAGGATGTTATCCATTACTGTTTGGAGTTGAATATAGAAATCTTGCTGTCATAATCCTGCATGATGAGATTGGTCCCCACCGTATTAGGGCTTCGACTGCCACTGGTGACATCATGATAGCCACTCGATACCTCAGTTTGCTCGTGGTTGTCGTCTTAGTGGTCGGAGTAGATTACTGACTCACCAGCTGACGATTTCGACAGTCCACCTATAGGTTCTACATAGGTTGGAAAAGAGCCAGTGTTGGTCAAACAAAAAAACATGGCTACATCAGTCAATGAAAACCCACAACAGTTAGTTTAAGTCAGTCAGCCAATTAGGATTGTGTAGATTGTCTGTCTGTTTAAATGTACGTCTTAGAGACTACAAAAATAAAACCCGCTTATAAAATATATATTCGAAGATGATTGATAGTAAGTGGGAATGTTAAAATTGCCTCCAAAGCCTCAGGATGGTCGGGGGTGGTGGGTGCCTTGCGCTGCGGGTTGGCCACCCCTCCGTACACCTCTTGAAATGCTCCCATATGACCGGGCGTCTTACATAGCCTCTCCTGAGGAAGTCCTACTCACTGCCTTCACGTGGCGGAGGTGTTTTTTTTCACCGAAGTGAGAGGGCAAAAGCGGATGCCCGGCGCTCTTCACCGGGTTGACTGTCCATTGGATGACAGTCTAGGGGAGATGGCCAAACCCTGATTGCAGACCTCCAACGACTGGCGTATGAAGCTCACTGGAGCTCACCAGTAGGCAGACGTATGGACAAAGAGCTTATTGGATGCCCTGGATGCCTGGCCCCATTCAAAAAGGCGTATGAACCGGATTCCGGTCACCGGCTTCCAATGGATAGTGGACTCCCTACTCCACTCCTACTGCCTTGTATGTCACACTTGGTTGTGTAAAGGCTAGAGCTGCACTCTCAAACAAAAGGCCGAGCGACGGTGGGGACATCACGCATACCTTATTCCCATGAAACTTCATGAACTCTCTACAACATCAACCAAATTCCAGTACTGGTCCAACAACGTCACCTTCGGTGGTTTGGCCATGTTCTGCGCCGACCAGATGACGATCTGGTCAAATCAGTTCTAAATCCCTCGCCATTTCCATCTTGGCGATGTCGCAGGGGTGGACAACTGAAAACATGGCTTGGTACAGTCAAGGCTGATATGGAGTGCCTGTGCTGGGGTTACAAACCGTCTACGGACTCCGTCTGTGGAACAAGAATTGGAAAACCCTGTCGCAAAACCTTGCATCAGATCGCCGCGCCTGGGCAGTGATGAATCGAGATGTTCATGAAGCCGGCTCATCCTCCCGTAGGAGATAGCCGAAGTAAAGTAAAAGTAAGTAATGTTAAGAGATTTAGTGGTTTGAAACCACTCTGACGCCTGTATCAAGCAGCCTTTGAGATTGAAAGGCTGGTCACCTTGTGTAGTACCATTAAGTTGTGTGTTTCTTGTACTTGAGATTATGGTGAGAAGTTCTCTGGACACCACTTATATAATTAGTTGGAACATATCACACCCACTCACTCACTCACTCACTATGTAGAAGTTTAGCTAAACATGGGTTGTTGTTTTAATTGAATTTGAGATTTTCCCGTAGAGAAATACCGGCACATCCAGTTGACGAGTCCCAAATAGGACGAAATGCGCGTTATCCTAGATTCCACTGCTAGTCACCTTCCACCACCAATTAAATGTGTTATTGTTATTATTGTTGATTGTCTCCAGCTAAATTTGAATATTATTCTGTATTACTCTGTTGTATGCATTTTATTCTCTTTTCTATTATTTTATAGATTACCTGAATATGCAAGGAAATTTCTTGAACTTTGTTTAATCATCACAGCTGATCATGGTCCAGCTGTTTCTGGTGCGCATAATACAATAGTGACAACACGAGCTGGAAAAGATTTAATCTCAAGTCTTGTCACGGGTTTACTAACCATTGTAAGTTTTATACATATATGTATGTATGTGTGTGGGTGTGCATGCGTGCGTGCGTGTGCATGCGTGCGTGCGTGTGCGCGCATGTCTGTGTGTTAATCCTTTTTTCTCTTTGTCACTGGATTTTATGCATCCTACCGGTGTCTAACAACTGTTTCGTCCTAGTTTTGGACTCTTCAGTAGTACTACACCCAACACCATAATTTGAACACAGAACCTTCTGGTTACAAGGCTGTGGAACTCGTAGACTATTACGCCACTGGGACCCCCTATCCAGCTGTCAACCCATGAATTCCAACTTTTGCTAATTCATGACATAGCGCGACCATTAACCAATCAATCACGTCCCTACAAACCAATACTGTAATATCAATGAGTTGCTCACTAGCGATGATTGGCCCTATTCAGCTAGGTAGTTACTTGGAGTTCTAGTGGAAAGTCGTGACTAGTAGGACACAGCAGGTCGGATGTGAGGACAAACACTCGCCGAAGATATTGCCTAGTATTCGTACTTTGTCGTGGTATGGCAGAAGTTGGAATTCATTGGCTGACTATTGGATGGGATCCCAGTGGCTGATGAATGGTCTACGAGTTCGCTAGCCTTTTAATCCGAGGGTGGTGCTTTTGAATCCGTGTGGTGGTTGTGTACTGATTCGGAGTCCAAAAACTAGTCCAACCAAAACATCTGGAATTCGACTGTGTCGACTAAGAGTTATTATGGCATTGTTTGCCGATGAACAGGGAGTGTCGACAAAGTAAATCACACTGATCAAGGCATTCTATATTTGATCTCATGCAGTCGTGTAACAGCTTATGAAGAGCTGTTGTCATTTGAAGTGACGGCAACTAATAGTGCCTGTCAGGAATGCCTACTGTCGCCTGTTTTCCTGTACAGTTTCATCATGGATATACTAAGGAAATTGACTGTAGCTGACTTTGTCGACTTGCGGATGATTAGCTTGTTACCACTAGGGGGAACAGTATGAGGATCATATTCCTACATGAACTGGTTCCTTCGTATGATGATACCACTATCATAGATGGCATTGAAGTTGAAACTAAGTTGAATGTTAAATATCTTCCATGGAATTGGATATTTCCACTGATCTTTTCTTGGTGTCTTCGTACATCATGTTAGTTTCTAGAAAGGATGCTTCAATTGACATTTTACTTAAGGAAGTTAAGACAATCTGGTATCCAGTCTCTAATTCCTGAGTTTATGAATTCTTGTATTCTACCTTATCCTTCTTTATTCACCCTACTTCCTAATCTTTCGTAGGCGGTACTTAAAAAAAAGACTTTGTCACGTCTCGAAGGGAACTAAAAGCTGTGAGTGTAGGGTAATTGGGTTGTCGCTAAGCCAACTTGTTAATAGCTATTGTAGACAGTGGACACATGGACTCATGCAAGAAAAGTAACGAATATCATAATGTTGAACTACTCTGGCCATCTTCTGCATACACAACGCCCCCATTCTACCAACCTCCTTGCATTTCATCAGATAGAGGGACTAGAAGGAACTGTAGAAGACTTTGTGCTTTGATGACTAAGTATAAAAACTCTACAAGGGTAGGACGTTGCGAACTTACTGCAGAACTCTAAGTAAGTGGCTCGTGTGTGTGTGTGTGTGTGTGAGTGTGGAAGTGTGTGGGGGCATGTGCATATCTGTGTCTTAATGTTTCTTTCTTTTTACTGAGTACAGTGCATGACAATTATTGTGAAAAATAGATTCCCATGTCAAAGCAATCAGGGTAAGACGCTACATACTACTGACTGGTAAATTGAATTGAGTAGTTGAATACCATTCTGGCTACATTGGAATGATTTAAACACCATATGGCTATTTCTCGCCTTTTAATGCTCGCTAAGCTCATCGACAACGTTGTACACAGTTTGCGAATTTGATTTCACGCATTACCAGTTCCTCCAAGTAGTTTTAACATGAATTTGAATGGTTTAAGCGAATTCAGCGCTCTAAGCTTAGTCGAACTGTGTGCACTGTTGATGACTAGTGTGATGTGTCTAGTCCTTTGGTATGTTTGATACAGACTGAATTCTATCAGTAAGGTTTGCAATATGGCCATCATTCTAGGTAGCTCGCCATCACGGTACACTTTGTATTATTGATGTTAAGTGGTTGGAGGCAATCGCCAAGAGGAAGCCCTACTTGACCTAGGTGTCGTGCTAGTTGGCACTCGTCAACAGGGCTTATCTGCAACCTTGAAGAAACTCAAGTCGCTTTTGAGATTCTAACCGCGTCACCCACTGCTTCCTGCAGTCAGAGACGTTACCACTGGTCAATTCGGACTCGCGATTGACCTCCTTCCTGTAGGACTGTGTTGGATAATTTGATTGAACACCAGTAACTAATGTGATGTGACTAGTCCTTTCTTTGTTACAGACTAACACTAGTTACTGATACGGTTCTACAGGATGTCAGTCGCGAGCCCGAATAGCTCAGTGGTAACGTCTCTGACTATACAGACAGCAGTGGTTGATGCGGGTTAGAATCTCAGACAGGGGGCATGAGTTCCTTCAAGGTAATTGCAGATACGTCTTACTGACTGACTGTTGAGTACCAACTAGCACGAAGCCTAGATCAAGTAAGGCTTCTTCCCCTTGGTGATCACCTCCAACCATCTACCATCAACACTGTTGTTTGATAAATTCGATAAACTGGTCGAAGAAGAAGCCGGCGAAGACAGGACTCCAAGTGAACATAGACAAGACGGAGTCTGTGAAAATAAACAACCAACCAAAAACAACAGCAACAACATCCAGCGCCAATCACCATGAACGGGAGGGATTTGAAAGAGGTTACTTCATTCACTTATCTAGGGAGGGAGCATTGTTTCAACTACAGACAGTGGGAACGGACGAGGATGTCAAATCGAGCGAGAATCGGGAAGGCCAGTGAGAAACACATTTATCAACCTGAAACCAATCTGGAAACCAATCTTCGTCACTCAGCCAGCATCAACAACAAAATTCGATCGGATTTTCAATACAAACAACGTCAAGTCAGTCAGTCAGTTGTTCTATACGGATGAGAAACTTGGCGGGTGAGGGCGGGTCACAAAGAATATTTCCAACAACAACTGTCTTCGTTGGCTCTATACTGAAGGTCAGATCAGATGGTCTGACCGGAAAGAAACTATGGAAACAAAGAAACAAAACAAGAACCAGTCAATCGCCAACCAACAAATATGCAGGAGAAAGTGGAGAAAGATGGATTGGACACTCACTCGCTGAGGAGGCCGCTCGCTGGGTGACATCACGCGTGCATCAGGCCATCACTCGAGTGGAACCCGACCGAAAGGGAATCGGCGAGTTGGACGTCGGTGTAAGGGTGACATGGAGCAGGAGATCGTGTGAAGAGGGAGGAGTTGAAACAGTATGGACTAACTAACATGGATGCAGGTGAAAAGTACAGCAGAAGGAAGACAAAAGTGGCAAGTGGAGACGTGCAGTTGAAGCCCTATTTTCCACTAGGAACCCAAGGGAACAATAATAATAATAATGGAAACAACACGAGAAGAAACTAGTTATATTTCTCATATAAGTTTAGAAGGAGATTCAAGTATTTTTTATGCGGTTAAATGGATTAGCAATAAGACTGGCCAACAGTATAAAAATGGTTGTTTGTATGTTAATGTGCAATAAAATTGTTAAGAAGTCAATTAATTGACTCAAGACCAGTAGGTCAGTAGGTCAAGCCTGACGATAATAATAATAATAATAATAATAATAATGGCATGAAATAGAGTTATAAGTTGAGTAATTTTAAGCTGAAATTAATCACGGCTTTTTCTTTTGTATACAAAAATTGGGCATAAATTCGCTGACAGTGACAGATTTAACAAAACGAAGTGAAGTTGAACTTGTTTAGAAGTAAGGAAGGAGACGTACCCCTACCGACTGGAAGAAGGCCGACTTATGCTTGTTCTTGTCCAACCCAAGCAAACTTTTAAGCTGAGGTATTCTGGAGAGTTGGATTCACGCAGATTATTTCATGTACTCACGAAGTTGCCACACTGCACATCATTATCGAACAGAATATAAAAATATAGCAAAAATATTCATTCAGACATATATAAAACACAAAATAATTGAGCCAGCAAAGAATATCCTTCTCGATAAACTCCTCCCCTTCTGGCTCTGCAATTATATATACATGTTTATAAACACAAAATATTCTAGATTAGTAGTTAATTTTTAATTTAATTTCGATTTACAGCTTGATTCCACACTGTATTTTCGGTACAAGTATGTAATTTTCAGCATGGATATCGGTAGCCCAAATAATATCTATTTGTAAAGTAAGATCACAATGGAATTACCACAGTTCATTGAAGATGCTTAAATTATATTAAAAATAATAAAGATAGAATAGCAGATAGAATATGAACTAAAATCAGGAAAATTCCACAAAAGTCAGGATCATTCAAACCTAGATGGCCAAGCGGGTATGGATAATGTCTGAACTAACTTCTTCTTTTAGATACACAAATTAGGCTTCTTAATGTGGATTCCAACAGCCAGCCTCAGCAATATTTATTAGTCGAACTCTTAAGACGAAATTAAGATTCGTAGGTATGCGGTAAATGACCCTGAAAGCCTCCTGGTTAACATCAGTCTTGTGTTCTGTATCCACAAGATGAGTGAGATAGAATACCGCTACGAATAGATTTTGTTTCTCCTTTACTTGACCACTAGGCAGGGTGATGTTCGGAAATTCGACGAGAAACACGCCTAATTACACGGCCTATGCAACTAACTGGCTCACTCCACAGGAGCGGTTTAATTGGTAGATATGTATATAAACACATACGTATAATTGTAGAGCCAGAAGAGGAATTTATCAAAAAGGATATTCTCTGCTGAATTATTTTGTATTTTATAGAAGACAAAATGGCATTCAACTTTTTTAACTAAACTTTATCGACTTTGAAAAAACGTCTTTGATATAGTGTCGACCGTGAAGTAATTTGGAAATTGCTTGAAAACTATAAGGTAGGAGCCAGCAGATGGACATACATTGGACTGATGTGAAGACAGTGGAAGGTGTGGATGATTCATGTCTAGTGTCACAGACACTCGAAGATCTACCAACAAGTTGGTAGAAGACGTAGTGATGACAATGCTTCGAGTGATGGTAGAGAAGACAGACGTGATGACAATAGTAATAATAATAGTAATAATTTTTACTTTATTCCAAAAACAGTACTAATGATACAGCAAGAAATTTTCAGCATTTCAGTACAATATTGCATCTAATTCTCTCAAAACGACAAAAAACATAATAATAATAATAAAACGTTGTTATAGCAGCTATGCAGCAATTACAGTATGCGATAAGGAGAAAAATATGCATAAAGTATAAAATTGGGGTAATAATAGTAATTACAACTAAAATAAAATAGCTAAGTTTTAATTAAACGATGGAAAGTGTGACACCATAAAATTACAGAAAGATGAACAATGAAAGGGTCAATTCACTTTGCTAATTACATAGTAACTTCTGATATGTTTCACGTCTAACAGTGTCTCCATCACATAAAATACGGACTAAACAATGTATTCTAGAATTTTTGTGCTTAGTGGTGTGAGCATATAACTTCTTATATTGACTTCTCGTCCATTTTGTACAGGATTTTATATGTCCCTCGACTATAATATTTGTGAGCTCACGTAGTGGCATACCACAAGCCCTACCCACAGCATTTATTACCCTTTGTAATATGATATCGTCTTTTTTTGAGAAGCCTAGGAAAGTTTAATGGAGAGCAATAGAGTACAATAGGTAAAATACAGGAGTTTACAAACTGCAGAAGTAAAGGTTGGTTGATACCTGATTGTCTTAACTTTTTAATGTAGAAGGTGAGACGAAGTATTTTCTTAGAGATTGATGTGGGATGTGGACCATGAAAGGTTAGAGGAAAGAACTAATCCAAGGTATTTAATGCTTGACTTGGGGTTTTGATTTCATTGCCATCTATGCGACAGGCATCATGGGAACTAACTAGACCATGTATGTCACGTCGATGCTTGAAAGTAAAGTTAACTGTCTGATATTTGAAAACATTTAACATAAGACTATTTGACTTAGACCACTTGCTGTAATGTCCAGCAGAAATCTATTAAGTTTGGAGCAGTCAGACTCGGAAGTGATAGACAGTGAGTGATACAGTCAGATCATCTGCATATTTGACAAATTTAGTTTTGTTTAAATGAGGCAGGTCATGTAGGAAGAAAGAAAAAAGAAAAGAGGATAGGTCGGACGACACCTTGAAGAACATCAGCTTTTGTAAGCGAGGCAGATGATTTGCGATTATGTATACAGTATACTGCATTCTATGAGAAAAATAAGAATGCAACCAACTCTTAGCCCATGATCCTGTTCGCGTCAACGAAAGTTCAACTAGCAAGACGAGAACAGGATGGAACACTGAAAAGATCTATCCACCGAAAGTCGACGTGAAACGGATAGCTTACTAACTTTCACAGTCGGGTAACCCTATACATCAAACCAAACCTGATCAGTTCACTCAGCTACAGAGTTCGCAGAATTTGCACCCCGGACACCATAGAAGATGAACTGGAATCTCATCGAGAATTTTTATCCAGAACCATTTATTGCAAAATCTATGAATCCTAGACCACAAAAGCCGTCCATACTTAGCGTCCCGAAAATCTACTCTACATAAACCTTCAATTCAATGGAGATATATCTGCGGAAACACTAAAAAAAATCGACTGTCGCGCTCACTTAAGAAGACCTTTTTCGATACTGAACTACGACTAACCTTCTCTACAAAACCTATGACTCATTTGAAAGTGAAGAATAAGCTACCACTGCTGACTGGCCTCATCAATGTGTATTTATCAATTCACCTGCTCGTGTGGAGCCAGGTATGTCGGCCGTACCCAGCGTTCACTTTCCAAACGTATCACCGAACACTTACCAGCATGGTTTTACAAAAGAGAAAAACGATGTCTTTGCAGTTCCATCTTAGAACATCTGATAGAATCGGGACACCAAGCTACTTAGAATACGAAGCAGTTTTCTTAATGGTGTGCGAGTCGAACTTCTTCAAACTGCAAAGACAACTGCGATTCACTTGCTAAGTCCTGAACACTGCATACAGAAGTTTGTTCTATCACTACACTTGCAATAGACGTAATCTATCTTATTACCAGACAAGTAAATTGTACCTAATCTTTTTTGCCTGTCTCTTTATTAGTATTATTTTGTCTTTACAATTGTCATATTTTACATTCTCAACTTTCCTGTTCTCTACCACCCACCCACCCCCGATGTAATTTCTACACTTCATTATCACTGTTACTTACATGACTAACGCTCAGTTTCTAGTCATTTATGTTACGTCATCCAACTTATTTGCTCAATTTCAGTTCTAATTTAAATGGCATTATTATCCACCCCACTTCTACTTAGTCTCTACCTGTAATTACCTCTGTTGCTACCCTGACCTTGGTTGAAACATTTCAGTCAATTATATTACGTCATCTAACTTACTAACTAACTCAATCTTATTGAATTGAATTCTTGATTTTCCCGTCGATTGATTGGACCGAAGTGCTCGGTCTCAGGTTGACATGTCGGCTTCTTGTGCGGATGCTCCGACGATGTCCGGGCATTTAGTTAGTATACAATTGGTGGATGGTGGCTAGCAGTTGAATCGAGGATGTGCATTTCGTCCTATTTGGGACTTGTCAGCTGGATGTACCTGCATTTCTCAGTGAGTGATAATGTTCCCACCGAGGCTCGAATCCAGTACCCATAGTTTCAAACGCCAAAGTGGTCTAGTGGATAACGCTTTGGCGTTTGAAACTATGGGTACTGGGTTCGAGCCTCGGTGGGAACATTATCACTCACTGAGAAATGCAGGTACATCCAGCTGACAAGTCCCAAATAGGACGAAATGCACATCCTCGATTCAACTGCTAGCCACCATCCACCAATTGTATACTAACTCAATCTTACTTCAGTTGCTGCCTAATTAACCTTGTTTCTATATTAGATCATTCTTGTATTACCTGATCAATTATCTAAACTTGACAAACCTCATGTGCACACACACAAACAATTGTATATGAATACGACTGTACGGCTGTGTCAATGAATTCGCCGTCGAAAATAGTCTTTTCGCTGAACGTCTTCTCTTTTTCATATGACTGAATGAGGATTTTTAAGCTATTTAAAGAAATGACCGCAAAATGATGACAGAATAACCTTCAGCGAGAAAATAACCAATCAGAAGACACTGTTTCTCTGGTAGTAATAACGAATAATAATGTACTTAAAAATATATATAAATACCTCTTGATTTCCTCAATAAACGATTTGTTGTCTGGCCCTTGTCTTCGAGTGCTACAGCATATACTTGTATTGTTGGTTTAGGGGATGGTATTTCCAGGATTCTAGTCTCCAGAGGAGCAGCATTCATTTGTCAGTGCTAGTGCATGCAGTTGATGAGTCTTAAATAGGACGAAGCACTCCATCAATCAAATTATGTTGAATAATTAAGGTGTGTATCTACCATAGTGAATACCTAATAGCTTGATGTGTTTAGTTATACACCTCAATCATACTTGAAGTGTTAAACAAAGAAAGCTGTATTTTTAATAATAATAATAATTATTATTATTATTTACTTTATTCCAAAAACAGTACTTGTGATACAGAATGGAATTTTCAGCAATAATCATACACAATATTGCATCTAATTTCCTCAAATTATAAATAAAAATTAATCACACAGAAAATTTTCCACATTTACAATAGGGGTGGGTAATGTCAAAAACATGCAGCATATAAAATGGAAATAACAATGATAACAGCTAAGGTAATAATAATAATACAAGTGAAATTTTCCGTGGGCTTGTTTCACACAGTATTGTCGATGCGGTATAGAAATCCTAGAATGTTTAAAAATATTGAATATAATCTTCTCTTTACATGATATGGTGAAGGGAAAACAAAGATTACACCAGTCATAGAGATAAGTTGGTGCTTGCAATTATGAGAGTAAAACAAACAAAGAAGCAACAGGACCATAAATATCATAGAAAAAATAAAAGTAAAACTTGAAGGTATATAAGGATGGATGGATGGAGGAAATTGTTTATTTACTAGATGAAAAAAGGTTAGTTAATTCGTGCCTGACACTATTTTCATCACATAAAATATGTGCCAAGTATGGTATCATAGAATTTCTATACTTAGACGTGCGAAGATACAGTTTTCTGAAGTTACTTCTTGTTCTACCTGAGGTCGGGATGCAAGGTTAAAGCTGAGGGTAGAGTGGATGTGGTCCAAGTCAGACAAAATCCCTTTAGCAAATTTATTGCACGAAATCAAGTAAGCCTATCAACAACTATGTGGTCCACTGGGACACCACTCACCCTACTGACTGACCATCTTCAGCATTCTACGAATTGTGACATAGTCCTTTTTAAGCAGCAAACCAGGAAAGAATAAGCAGGGGTGAACAATAAAGAAGAATAGGTAGGATGGAAGAGTTTATGGACTGTAAGAGGAAGGGTGGGTTGAGTCATACCCGAGTGTCTTAACTTCTTAATGTAAAATGTCAGGTGGAATATTTTACTGGAGATTGCTAAGACATGGGAAGACCAGTAGAGATGAGAAGAGAGAATAAGTCTAAGATACTTAATTTCTGATTTGATTCCTATATCATCTTCGTCAATCTTACAACTGTCATGAGTGTGTGTGTTGACAATTATCGTCAGCACTGTATATATCTGTGAGCTCGTAGAAAATGACTTTACCCTTAGCGGAGATATACAACAATTCCAGATGAGAAAGCGTCTTAGATTTGAACAGTCAGATAAGAACCTAATTGTATACACACACACACACACACGAATATTTCCTGTTACTTTGTTTGTTATTTTGCTTTTTTCATATTTAGGGTGATAGATTTGGTGGTGCTTTAGATGCGGCAGCACGTCAATTTTCAAATGCTTATGACACAGGCCTATCACCTGTCCAGTTTGTTAATCAAGAACGTCAAGCATCACGTTTAATTATGGGTATTGGACATCGGATAAAGTCAATTACAAATCCAGATAAACGTGTCCAACTGTTATCAAATTATGTTCATCAGCATTTTCCAGCGACACCAATTATTGATTATGCATTTGAAGTAGAAAAGGTGACCACTTCTAAGGTATGTGTATTGTGTTGTTGTGTATTATAATATTTGTTTTGCATAAAACTATGTATATACTACTAAATTTGGTTGAGTCATATGAGTAGTTGTATGCCACTGAAGACCACACCTGGATTTCGCGCGTGGATGATATATGTTTGATGTCACTGTCACAAAATCGAAGAGTTACAAACAAATACCGACAAACTGGTCGAAGAAGCAGTCGGCGAAGACAGGACTCCAGGTGAACATAGACAAGATGGAGTCTGTGAAAATAAACAACCAGCAACACCATCAACAACAGCAGCAACATCTGGCGTCAATCACCATCAACGGGAGGGATTTGAAAGAGGTTACTTCATTCACTCACTTATGAAGAGAGCATCGTCTCAAATACAAACAGTCGGAACGGACGAGGATGTCGAATCGAGCGCGAATCGGGAAGGCGAGCGAAAAACACATTCACATTAACCTGAAACCAATCTTCGTCACTCAGCCAGCATCAACAACAAAATTCCGTCGGATTTTCAATACAAACAACGTCAAGTCAGTCAGTCAGTCAGTTGTTCTATACGGATGAGAAACTTGGCGGTTGGGGGAGGGGTCACAAAGAATATTTCCAACAGCCAGTTGCAGACCTTCATCAACCACCAACTGTCTTTGCTCTCTCTATACTGAAGATCCTGATTTACACCATCTCTGGCGTAGGCGTGACATCCGGTTATCAACCAAGGGACGTGTGTACTGCTCATCAGTTCGCTCCGTCCTTCTCTATGGCTCTGAAACATGGCCAATACGCGTTGAAGACATGAAAAGGTTAACTGCTTTCGATCATAGATGTCTGCGATCCCTGTCTCACGTTAGGTGGTTTCACAAGATAAGTAATGTTGACGTTAGGCGTAGAGTGTTGGGCAGGCAAAGGGGGAAAATCAATCGACGAGGCTATAAAGTTACATAGACTAAGATGGCTAGGTCACGTGGTGCGCATGCCTAACCACCGCCTCCCCCGACGGGCATTGCTAGCTGACATAGGTTCAGGTTGGAAAAGAGCCAGTGGTGGCCAAACAAAAACATGGCCTCATCAATCCATGAAATCCTTGACAGTTAAACTGAGTCAGGTAGGGAGATGCAGACTCCCGGGTTGGGGCCCTTAGGACTGACTCTAGGAATCAATGGCTGGAGACAATAGGTGACATGGCTCAAAATCGTTGTCAATGGCCAGCGCAGATGTATTCAGTCTCTGTAATCTTTCATATTCCTTTCTACAATTACCCATTCTGTTTCACTCTTATACTTGTCGAACTCTATTGATTCTCTTCACTCATCTTCTTGTCTACTTCCGTGTGGTATTTGGAAGGTGGCAACTCGAACTGGTGCACTTGGGTGTCAAGTTCTATGTTGAATCCAGACAGACAGACTGAAGATCAGATGGCCTGGCTGGAAAGAATCACTGACAAGAAAATATGGGGACAAACAAAACAAAAACCAGTCCATCGCTCAAGATGACGTTGATGGCTGGTGCTAGTCGGGCTAAACAATCTTAAATTGATTATTTATTATTATTATATCCTTTAATTCCTAGAGGAACAACATAGGGCTTCAGCTGCGCATCTTTATTCCCTTCTGTTTTCTGCCAACTTTTTCACCTCGCTCCACGTCTTTCCACATGCTTTCATCTCCTCCTCACATGACCTCCTTCAAGTCCCCCCCACTCTTGCACTGACGACCAACTGACTCGCCGCTTCCCTTTCGGGTTCCACTCGAGTGATGGCTTGTCTAGTGATGTCACTTGATGGTTTCTTCAGAGTCTAGCCAGCAAATCCATCTCCATTTCTTCCTGCTTATTTGTTGCACAGTCGGTTCCTGCTAGTTTGGTTCGCTCATTTCCCGATATCCCTGTTTCTGATCTTTTCTGGCCGACCATCTGATTTTGAGTATTGAGCCAAGACAACTGTTAAGGAAGGTCTGTAGTTTGTTTGAGATGCTCTTTATGGCGCACCAACTCTCTGACTTCCCATTGGAGTTGAAAATCCAGATCTTATTTTTGATTCTGAGTGCTGTTGACCTCCACACAGATTTGAGAGTAATGAAAGCTTGTCTTGCTTCCCCGATTCTGGCTTTGATATCCTCGTCAGTTCCGTCCGCCTGTAGTTGAAACGACGCTTCCTAGGAAGGCAGGTCGACAAAGGAGGTTGTTTCTTTCAGGTTCCTCCCATTTATGCTGGCTGATTGTTGTCTGTCGTTGTCACAAATTGATAGAAGTTAGGATTTTTGAGCCGGGTATTAAGTCAGTTCCCGTCCAATGACTGATGTATCACCTATGGGGTGCTTGCCTTGTAACGAACCCCAGTGGTGGATGGGTAGGTAGTACATGCGATGTGTGTTCCAAACTAGGACGAAACAGCTGGTTGTCTAGTACCACCTCCTGCTGGGTTTCAATAATTCGTGATCAAATTTCAAACAAAATAGTGTAGCCCAATGAGTAGTGTTCTTCAGTCAGCTTTGTTTTGTTTCTTAAACCATTTTATGTACTAATTGCGTAATCATTATTTTGATTGGTGGATGATAGTCTTTTTATTTTTCTTGTTTACTATTGTAGCGTCCAAATTTAATTCTCAATGTTGATGGAATGATCGGTGTAGCTATGGTCGATTTACTAAGAAATTGTGGTCATTTCACAAGGTTAGTGATGGTTAATTTGGCTGTATTAAACAGTTGCTGAATTGATTGTGTTATGTTGTATTCGTGCTGAACACTTCTTCTTTCAAACAATCTGATCACACACACGCACTGCACATCTTCATTTCGTCTTATTTTCTTTTGTCCTTATCAGCCGACCTCACGATTGTCCATAATTTCTGATCTCCTGCATGGTCATCCTTGGACCATTGTCCCACATTCTTCGTTTCCAATTTATCTTCCAATCGAGTGATGGTCTGGAGCGCTATCCTTTTTTTATACTTTATTCCAGATATATGTTAAGCAATAGGTTCTTGTCTTTCAGTTCCAATGGCCAGGTCTCACAGCTGTCAGACCTGGCCATGAAAAGGACAGCTGTCTTTGATCATAGGTTTCTGCCTTCTATCTCTCGTGTGAAGTAGTGGTCTAGTAGGGTGAACAATATTTGAGGTTAAGCGTCTTTCGAGTGTTAGCTAAGAAGGGGGTGGGGAATCACTCAACGAGGTTGTGAAATTTCATCGATTGAGATAGGTGGTTAGGACATGTGTTACGCCTGCCTAGCCTTCTTCGACGACGGGCAGTGTTAGCAATGACACAGAATGGATCAGGTTGGAAATGAGCTAGCACGTAGTGGGCAATGAAATCTACAACAGTTAGTTTAAACCAGTCAAATAGGGAGGTGTAAACTGCCAGTGTGATTGAAATCCTCGAGACGATAAGAGTCAATAAAGACTAGGGACGATTAGTGATGTGGCTTGAAATCTTCGTTGTCAGTGTCTGGCGTAGTTGCATCCACACGCCTTGTGACTAACTTATAATATCCAATAGAACTAATTATATGGTTCGTCGATATTACTATTGTATTTGTGTCATTCCTCTGTTTACTGTCTCTATTTTGCATTTCCTTATACTCTCTTCTCTTGCATTGTGTGCTTCATGGAGTGAGTGTGGGGACTTGAACTGCTGCTGTATATCTATGGAAAGCTCTGTGTTGAAACGTGTCAGTCAGTTAGTCAGTCGTAGGTTCTTGATTGTTTGTTTGATTGATTCTCTCTGACTAGTTATTGGATCGTCAGCATGAAGTCAACAAAGGCGTCTTTTGATAAAAGTTTGTTATGACCTGTTGGAAAGGCTTTTTTTCGTATCAAATTCCTCTGATCCATATAGAAGAGAAGAACTAACTGACTGATTTAGCATTGGAGTTAAACAGAATCCGAATTTCGTTCTTTATGTTAAGGTGGAGTGCAGAAGATTTCCCAAATTGACGTGCTTTTCCGATTCCAGCTGGTTTTCACCTCCTCATCTGTGCAAGGAGGAGACCGGTCTCTCTCTCTCTCTCTCTCTCGAATTTTTCCCGTTGATAGTGATTGGTGATGGTCATTGTTGTTGTTGTTGCTGTTGGTTGGTTGGTTGGTTGGTTGGTTACTTTCATCATCTGCATCTTCTCTATGTTCACTTTTGGTGTTCTTTGTTCGCTGACAGATTCTTCAGCCTGTTTGTATGTTTTCGCCTGTATGTGTAAGTCTTTGAGTTTGTTGTTTGACGTTTGACATAAATCATCCCTCACGCGAAATCCAGTTCTTTTAGATTCATCCTAATGATCAGTACAACGTTGTTCTCTTTTGTTACTCCCCAAGCAATCTCATCGATGATAGCAAAAAATGCAAGCTTGTGTTACTCCTATATTCACTTCAAATGACTCGCTAAATTTTCTGTTGTAGATCATCTGGCATGTGGCGTCATCATGTAACTGCTGTTGATTGATGTTGCATCGACTGAAATGATTAGGACATGTGTTACGTATGTCTAGTCGTCGCCTTCCTCGACGGGAAATGTTAGCTGACATATAAGGTCAGGTTGGAAAAGAGCTAGCACCTGGTGGTCAAACCAAAATATGGCTTCACCAGTCAATGACATCCACAATAGTTAGTTTAAGCCAGCCACGTAGGAAGGTGTAGACTTTCTGACTGGCCGTTTTGGGTCCTCGGGACGGTAAAAACCAATGACGGCTTGAAACAATTGGTGATATGGCTGAAAATCGTTGTCAGTGGCTGGCTGGCGCAGATGCATCCACTCCTTGTGACTTATGATTTCCAGTTAAGGTGTTTTGTTCTTTGTTATTACTATTCCTTTGTCTCACACCTCTGCTTACTCTCCCTATTATGCATTTCCTCTTCTACTTTCTTCTCTTGCTTTGTGTTCTACATAGAGGGAGTGTGGCGAATTGAGCTGTCGCATATATGTGTAAAGTTCTATGTCGAAAACAGACAGACAGACAAACACATCCGTTACAAAGCAAGCTCGTATACCATTCAGTTAGATTTCATGGACTGGCTATTGCTATATTTTCTCACCTATCCATGAATATATCTGCTACAACCGGGGAACAATAATGAATTTTGTTCAAAACTGTGTCATCCAGTAGATACTAATACTGTTTCACTGACTGTGTGGTACATCTAATAAACAAACTAATATGGAATTACTTACTACTACCACAGTGCCCAAGTTTTACACATATAACAATAATGTTGTTAATAGTAACACTAATTCATTCATTCACTATTATGCATGTATATATAACCTGTGTCTTCTCTATGTTCATCTTTGAAGTCCTTTCTTCGCTGACAGCTTCTTCAGGCAGTTTGTATGTTTTCAAGTCTTCAAGTGTGTGTCGCATTACATATAAATCATCCACACGCAAATATCCAAGTCTTTAGACTTTTCTTATATGGATTAGTATATAACTTATTCTTGTCTTCTCATTCGCGAAGCACTGTGTCCCACGTATAATCCAGTCTACTACAATCGTTGACAGCAAAGAAACAAGCTTATGTTATTCCTGTATTCACCTCAAATACCTTGCCGAGTTTTGCGTTGTAGATTATCCGACATGTAGCATCGTCATATAGCAGTTGTTGATTGACGTTGATAAGGGTTTCCGGGTTCTCTGTAATCTTGAATTAATTTCTTGTAAATGAAAACAAGTAATTCAGTAAATTCATTGAATTATGAGATTTAAGACATATTTTTTTTTATGTCAGCGATGATGATACAACATTGAGAAGGCCAGAGTGTAGGAAATGTATAATCAATATTGTTATTATTGTTTTTCAGGTCGTATGATTATGTCAATTTGAAACTTTAGCCAATCACATGGTGTTCGGTTAAAAGGTTATTATTATAATATTAAATTATATTTAATAACTAGAGTTATAGGCTCAAAAATCATGCTTATACTTACGTGTGCTCGAAAGGAACAAACATGAGAGAACTAGACTGGAAGAGGGGTGTATTGATCATATTTTTTCACCTTTTGACAAATTATGGAACATATAGACACATTTACCACTGGTGTCCAACAGCTGTTATAATTCTTGACGTGAAAGTGGTATTCGATTTCGTCGACCGAGATGTACTATATGACGATGTTTAGATGGAAAGGAAATCCCGAGAAAATACATTGCCCACTGATCAAGGTACTCTATTCGAACTGATGCAGTCAGCCAGGTCGGCCCCTACAGAGAGTTGACATCTGAAGCGGTGACAAACCAGTGGTGTCCATCAGGGATGCCCACTATTCCCATTTCTATTCAATTCCATCATACACGTACTAATGGGATTAACCTTAACTCACTTCAGAGACTCAAGAACTGACTGGTTACCACCAGGGAATAATCTCGTTGACTAACAATATGCAAATGATATAGTCCTTGTAGGTGAAGACGCTAACAGAATGCATCAGAGTGTTCTGAACACCTTGAGCGGCGGCAATCTTCCAATGTTTGGCTTCCGGTTATCTCCTGTCAAATGTAAGATGATGCTACACGACTTGACTACAACGACTCCGAGTTTGGAAAAGGGAGTATGGGGGTTAGTGAAGTGTGTTGATCACTTTACTTATTTGGGAAGTTGCATCAACCAGTACCAACGGGTTGGTCGCTGACGAAATCTCAGCACCGATACAGAAGGCACGTTTGGCATTTTTCAACTTATGCCATCTCTTCTGTAAACGTAGTAATACCGATGGTTGTCGACTAAAGGGCGGGTGTACTGCTCAGCAGTCCTCCTTTATGGCTGTGACTCAGATATATCCATTGAAATTAGAGGATATGAAAAACTTGGCTGGTCGTACTTGATCATAGGTGTCTGCGTTCTATCTTCCGTGTGATGTGGTGGTATAATAAGACCAGCAATATTGAGTTTGGGCATCGGGTGTTTGGTAAAGAGGCTGTGAATCTACACCGATTGAGATGGTTACGACATGTGTTACTTATGACAGGCTGATTGGTTGTTTTTGTGTGCTTTCACACCTTCTAGGAGGTTACTTGCATTGGAACTGGTTGTTTCTTTGACTTGAACGTTGACCCTTTGTGTGTGTGTGTGTGTGAGGTTTGTTTCCTATCGGTCGATAAATTTTGTCTAAAGACATGATATCCACTCCCTCATATCGCCTCACTGCATACAGACAACCACGGACGTCAATTCGACTGGGACAACCAACGTCCAAATATTAGACAGAGGAAACATAAAGAATGCTGCAGAATTTTTAGAAGCCTGTCTGATATTCCAGTGAATCATCAATCAATAGACACATCAAGAGATAGACAAAATTTATCAACCGATAAGAAGGAAACCGCACACACACAAAGGATCGAAGTTCAAGTCAAGGAAACAATCACTTCCAATACCACAAGTAGCCTCCTAGAAGGTGTGAAAACACACACCAATAACAAACAACCAATCACGTCCAAGGTGGTCGGTCACCGACCAGGAGAGATGATTAAACTCGTGGAGAGATCTAAAAGCTCACTTCAAATTGAAATTGAAGTATGCGCTGAACCATCCAGCTCACAGAACACAACCGCATTAAAATCATCCACACCTGAGCTACAAATCTTCTTTATCATATCTAAACTAGGTCTTTTTTATGGTTTTGTCATAACTATATTTTTGTTCTGAAATAATTATAGGACACAGCATTCAAAGTTACACATGGAAGTTTAATGTCATTCATATTTCTAAAAACAGAACAAGGAGATATTTTTTGTGTCCTTTATTGTAGTATCTTCTATAAATAATGATCATTTTACTTAAATTCTTTTCTCTGTATACTTTTTGAAGAAAAAACGTTTTTATCTTTGTTTTCTATCCAACAGAGAGGAAGCAGATGAATATGTCAATATTGGTACACTGAATGGTTTATTTGTCTTGGGTCGATCAATCGGTTTTATTGGTAAGTTTTTAATCGGTTGTTTTTTGTATACACGGAAAATGTTTGTTCGTTGTTGTTGTCGTTTCTACTATTATTATTATTGTTCCCTTGGGTTCCTAGTGGAACATAGAGCTTCAACTGCACGTCTCCATTTGCCACTTTTGTCTTCCTTCTGCTGTACTTTTCACCTGCATCCATCCATGTTAGTTAGTCCATACTGTTTCAACTCCTCCCTCTTCACACGATCTCCTCCTCCATGTCACCCTTACACTGACGTCCAACTCGCCGATTCCCTTTCGGTCGGGTTCCACTCGAGTGATGGCCTGACGCGCGCACGATGTCACCCAGCGAGCGGCCTCCTCAGCGAGTGAGTGTCCAATCCATCTTTCTTCAATTGCTCCTGAATATTTGTTGGGCGATTGACTGGTTTTTGTTTTGTTTGTCCCCATATTTTCTTGTCGGTGATTCTTTCCGGCCAGGCCATCTAATTTTCAGTATAGAGAGAGCAAAGACAGTTGGTGGTTGATGAGGGTGTGCAACTGGCTGTTGGAAATATTCTTTGTGACTCACCAAGCGCCAAGTTTCTCATCCGTATAGAACAACTGACTGACTGACTTGACGTTGTTTGTATTGTAAATCCGACGGAATTTTGTTGTTGATGCTGGCTGAGTGACGAAGATTGGTTTCAGGTTGATGAACAACGTGTTTTTCGCCCTCTCGATTCACGCTCGATTTGAGACAATGGTCCCTCCCTAGATAAGTGAATGAATTAACCTCTTTCAAATGTCTCTCGGTGATGATGGTGATTGGTGCTGCATGTTGCTGCTGTTGTTGTTGTTGGTTGGTTATTTTCATAACCTCCGTCTTGTCTATGTTCACCTGGAGTCCTGTCTTTGCCGGCTGCTTCTTCGTCCAGTTTGTCGGTCGGTTTTCGCTTGTAAGTCTTCGATTTTGTGACAGTGACATCAAACATAAATCATCCACGCGCGAAATCCAGGTCTTCTAGGCTTTTCACGTCGGTCCAGGATATCCCTGTCTTCTCGTTTCCCACTCACTGTCTGACACATAATCCAGTCAGTCCACCACAATTAGGAATGTCATTGGTGCATAATAAGCACCCTTGTCTGACTCTTGTGTTTACTGGAAACGCCTCGCTGAGTTTTCCGTTGTTGTACAGCTGTCGTTTCTATTGATGATTCTAAATGTTTGAAGTTTTAGGATCACGTATGGATTGATATCAATTAGAGAATTAGCTGTTTTCTCTCCTTAGTTTATGATTTTATTGGTTAAATGCATCCACCCACCACCGGGGGGGGGAGGGTTCGAACCCTGAACCTTCTTGTTATAAAGCAAGCTTTGTTAGACGATTCTCAGCAACACTGTGATCTCACATCTCAATGATCAACCCATGAATTCTAGCATGACTGGCACCAGCTTATATCATCTTAGGCTCTAGTATATTTGTCCTCACTGTCGACCGTGTAAGCCATACCCTACAAAAAGCTCATAAAAGTTAATGAGGTGGATGAAGTTGCCTGGAGTAAATTCTAGTGAGAAGTTGTGATCAATTAGTGGAATTCATCAGGTCAGTCGGAGGTGTGGGGACACAAATACTCGCAATGGATGACAATCACTAATTGGTACTGCTCAAATGCGGACGAAAACAGCCGTCCAGTACACATTTTGGTGGTTTTCAATGGTTCACTCTCTAACTGATATCAAAATAAGCGTGGTCAGATTTCAAACAAATTGAATTCCTGCAAAGAAAATCCATAACTCTTTCTATATCTTAGACTTTAAATTTTCATAATATTTGAGATCGTGTGGGGTGGCGATGTAAGCTTATGCACAACATTGGGGCCATCTGAAGAGGATGGCATAGAACAGGGTGATATAGAGGATGTTCCACTGTTGAGGTCCTAGGACCACTGGTATAATAAGAATAATAATTGGTGTTAGATGTTTGCAGGTAATTCCCAAGAGGAAGCCTTGCTTGACCTAGGTTTCGTGCTAGTTGGCACTCACTAATCAGCAAGGCGTATTAGGCCTAATCTGCAATCCGTCTGAGATTTGAACCTTCGTCGCCTAGGTGACGACTGCCCGCAGTCTGAGATGCTACATTCCTACAGGAGATCAATCGCGAGATCGAATAGCTCAGTAGTAGTAATGTCTCTGACTCCAGGTTGCATTGGATGACGCGGGTTCGAATCTCAGACACAAGGGACATGAGTTCCTGCAAGACTGCAGATAAACGCCTTTCTGTGAATGGTGAGTGCCAACTAGCACGAAATCTAGGTCAGGTAGGGTCTCCTTCCGATTGCCTCCAGTCGTCTATAATACCAACGATTCACAGTGCGATGCACCGTGATATCAAGTCACCTAGGTTTCTGGTGGCCACATTGCAAACTTGACTGATGGAATTCATTTTTCACCAAACCCAACAAACGGCTCACCACATTTCATCAGTTACGGACTAGTGTCCAATCAAAAAATAATAATAAGCCTAATTTAAGACTTCAGAAGTTATTTCTCTCTCTCTCCCTCTCCGATTGTCAAGTTTGCGTAAAAGATTATTTCAGTATGTGATTAAGATTGATAGAAATAAACATAGTTGTGCATTGAACGCCTGATGATTACTGGAAAATAATCGATCACACTCATTGGCATTACAGCTGAACAGTAAATGTTACATGGTTAGAACTCATTTTGTCAGTCATGAGGTGAAATGTTGAGCACCTAGTGAGCAGTGGGATTGTGTAGCTCAGATGGTTATAGTGCCACCAGCCACACAGTTGGTTGGAATCCAACTATGATATCAATCAATACACGAATGAGTAACAGTCTTCGAGAGCAATACAAATATCAGCTTATCTCATTACTATATAAAAGGCAACTCGACACATAGATATAACACGAAATACGTCCATCACATATTATATATAATCATAATTTTCAAATATCTTCTGTATTGTGTTTCATTCGTTAAGTACATCTCTCTGCTATTCGATGTTCATGCAGATGATCTCCAAACCTTTTTATCTATATCCTCTATACTACTTATAAATCTTGTCAGTAACACATGCCAAAAATTAAAACTTTTGTGTTTCAATATCTTCCTCATTTATTTATTTACTTTTTTATAGGTCATCATTTGGATCAAAAACGCTTACATCAAGGCCTATATCGTCACCCATGGGAGGATATATCCTATATGCTACCGAAAGATCTGTAATCCCAGAAGCATAGACATCTGCGCCCACCGGCGCGCGCACACACACACCCAAACACACACAAATAAGAGATATTAAAAAGCTCTATATAATACACGAAAAAGAAGCAAAAATTATCAAGTGTCTATTCTCTATGCGTGCGTGTGTGTGTGTGTCTCATTGTTACTTAATTTATTATTATTTATCTTTATCATGTCAATTGGAATGCATTTCCTCGTTCGCCCATTGTGCCCCTACATCGACCTTTGCCCCCTGCCCACACCAACTCCATTTTGTTTTATCTCTCATTCGCTTGTCCTCCTTCTCTTTGCCTTTGTGTGTGTGTGTGTGTTTGTGTGTAATGTGTATCTGAGTAGAGTGTTATGTTGAAGAGTGGAAAGGAGAAAGAGTTCGATGAAAGTTGAGGTTTTGAGAACAGAGATAAAGGAATGTGTAAGGGTTTTGGGAGTTGGTAAGGGATGGGAACATCAACAGGTGTCAAATGATGGGTGTCGGTGAGACAGAGAGAGAGAGAGAGGATGAAAATAATCGTTATTTGTCTTATTTACTACTTCCGTTATCCTCATGTAGGAATTATCGTCATTATCATCATGGAAGGTGTTCAGTCATTCCATCTCCACTACTATCTATTAATTCTATTATTATTATTATTATTATTATTATTATTTATAAGACAGGGTTTTCCATGTTTTCATTTCCACATTCTCCCATCCATCGTTTCGTCTATGTCTATTTATTTTTCTACTACTACGTAATTCTACAGTCTTATCAATCATGTGCCCTTCCTCCAGTCTCACTTGTGGTGACATCTCTCACCTCCTCCTCTATTTATTCATCTCTATCATTTAAGATTGAAAAAAAGACGTAAGGAAGTTATAGAGTGAGTGACCTTCTCCAAATACATTCATCTATTTAGGCGCCTATTGTTAGACTTCATAGCTTCACCTACTCCTTATCTTTGAAATACTTCAAATGGTTGTGCTCTATCTATCTGTCTATGGTTGTGAACACTGCACTGCACTGCACTACACAGCACAACACTAATACTACTGCTACTACGTTGTCGAGGACGACGGCGCCGTTGCCGCCGACTGCTACTGCCTAACACTACCATTATGTGAGTTGATTATATGAAGGATTTATGATTTATGAAGGCTTCAATTGTAACAATGACAATATAAGTAGTAGTATTTAGTAGTATAGATATGTGTGTGTGTGTGCATGTGTATTTTCTAATGAGCTCGCTTCTTTTTCTACCTGCCTATTTGTTTGTTTGCCTGGTTTGTTTATTTAGAAAATTTATATAAGAAATAAGTAAAAGGTTGTTTATTTATTTATTGATTTATTAGAGAAACTTTATTTTTTCATAAAAAAATCTTTGATATACACATATATCCATCTACCATTAGTGCTTTTTTTAAAATATATCTTCAGAGGAGGAGTGTTCATTGAATGGATTTAAGTGGGGTTGTGGATTGTTGACTCCATATATCTATCGCCGTATCTTTTGGCTATTAGTCTCTTATCTCTCTCTCTCTCCCTTTCCCTGTGTCTGTCTTATACTCACCATTTTATCCCTCTTATTTATTTATCTATTTATTTATTTATTGATGTAATAGCGGAGAAAATAATAAAATAGTATTTCTGCTCATTTGTCTGTGTTGCTGTTTCTCACTTTTTTTTAAAAAAACTTCTATTCGAAGTACACATTACATTATTGCTAAATACTGTTATAATGAAGTGTTATGTAGTCAGAGAAATAACAACTTTCAATGTCTCCTTTCTAACTAATGATGCGTTTTTTCAGTGTTATTGCTGTTAGCTACTGACAAGATTTGTGAGTAGTATATAATGCAGACTATAATTTGTTTGGATTTCCAGTGGAATATTACGCTTCAACAGCGCGTCTGCGATTCGTTCTACTCTCAGCGGTCCTCTTTAGATGCCCCTACGATTGGCATTCTATCTCTGATCTCCTTCGTATCACCTTTGAACCTACACTCATTTCGTATCTTATATGAGTTCCACTCGAGCGAGATGGTACGATGCCATTATTGGAGTAAACCTAATCCATCTTTAGTTTCATCTAAATATTTTTTGAACAATAAGAGGTTCTTCGTTGGTGGGTTAGTTCCCATAGTTTCTTGTTATGGAGTCTTTCTGACTGGTAATTTGATCCTCAATGTGATATCAGCGATGTTAATAGATACAAATAGTCGATGATGGTATGAGGGTATTCACATGACTCTGTCATGAATAGATAAATTGACGTAGACTAAACTTATTGATCAATAAAAAAGAAGAGTCACATGGACCGAAAGGTCATCTTTCAAGTTAGTGAAAAAATCAATATTACTACAACCAAATCACGGTTAAAGTGACTGGTAAAGATGACTGATAAACGCGTTGAGAAGTCTAAAAGTTCAGCTGCAAATTGTGTGGTTTGCACTGTGATTTTTGTCTACGATGACAGTGATGAAAGCTTCACCTGAAATGAAGACAAAGAAACGTAATTCAGAAGACCAAAGTGACATAATATCGATGATATGTACAACTTTCAGGTCTCCTGTCCATCTAGTCTCTCATCAGCGTCTTTGGGATAATAATAATAATAATTTACTTTATTCCAAAAACAGTACTTGTGATACAGATAGGAATTTTCAGCATTCATCACAATATTGCATTTAATTTCCTCAAATTATAAATAAAAATTAATCACACAGAAAATTTTCCACATTTACTGCAATAGGGGTGGGTAATGTCAAAAACATGCAGCATATAAAATGGAAATAACAATAATAATGGTAACAGCTAGGGTAATAATAATGATAATACAAGTGAAAATTGCCGTGGGCTTGTTTCACACAGCACAGTATTGTCAATGCGGTATGGAAATCCTAGCCTTTTTAAAAATATTGAATATAATCTTCTCTTCACATGATATGGTGTGGGGAAAAACAAAGATTACACCAGTCATAAAGATAAGTTGGTGTTTGCAATTATGAAATTAAAACAAACAAAGAAGCAACAGGACCATAAATATAATATATAATGAGATGCTCACTGGCGACTGGCTTTATTCAGGTAGGTAGTTACCTGGGTTCCAGTGGGAAGTCGTGACCAGTAGGGTGCAGCTGTTCGGGTGTGAGGACAAATACTCGCCTAAGACATTGGCTAGCGGTTGCGCTATGTCGTGAATTGGCAGAAGTTAGAATTCAAGGACCATTGGATCGGGTCCCAGTGGCTTAATGGTATACAAGCTCGCCTTGTAACCGGAAGGTCCTGGGTTCGAATCCCGGCGGGTGCGTACTGCTGAAGAGTCCCAAACTAGGACGAAACAGCTGTCCAGTACTCCCAGGTTTTCCAATGGTTCTCTAACTAATGTCAGCTCATGATGAAATCCTGAGAAATAATAAAAGTTAAACTTGAAGGTACCTAAGGATGGATGGATGGATGGAGGAAATTGTTTATTTACTAGATGAAAAAAGGTTAGTTAATTCGTGCCTGACACTATTTTCATCACATAAAATACGTGCAAGTATGGATCATAGAATTTTTATACTTAGACGTGCGAGCATACAGTTTTCTGAAGTTACTTCTTGTTCTACCTGAGGAGATGCAAGGTGAAAGCTGAGGGTAAAGTGGATGCTCCAAGTCAGACAAAATCCCTTTAGCAAATTTATTGCACGAAGTCAAGTGCCTATCGACAACGACGTTAACTATGTGGTCCACTGGGACACCACTCACCCTACTGACTGACCATCTTCAGTATTCTACGAATTGTGACATAGTCCTTTTTAAGCAAACCAGGAAAGAATAAGGGTGAACAATAAAGAAGAATAGGTAGGATGCAAGAGTTTATGAACTGTAAGAGGAGGGGGGTTGAGTTATACCCGAGTGTCTTAACTTCTTAATGTAAAATGTCAGGCGGAATATTTTACTGGAGATTGCTAAGACATGGGAAGACCAGGAGAGATCAGAAGAGAGAATGAGTCCAAGATACTTAATTTCTGATTTGATTCCTATATCATTGTCGTCAATTTTACAACTGTCATGAGAATCGATGACTTCTTTTAACTGTCGTTTACATCTTAAGCTGAAATCAACAGTTTGACACTTAGAAGGATTCAGTTTAAGACCGTTAGACTCAGACCATTTGCTGACTTCCGATAGAAAGCTATTTATTTTAGTACAATCTAGCTGGGAGTTAACAGCCATTGAAACCGTTAAATCATCAGCGTACTTCACAAAGTTTATTTCATCAGAGTGAGGCAAGTCATGCAAGAAAAAAGAAAAGGAGAAAAGACAGCGCCTTGAGGGACACCAGCTTCAGTAGGCAATGAAGTGGAAGACTTCCCTTTATATACGGTGTACTGCTTTCTATCTGAGAAATAGGAATGTAACCAGTTAACAGCCCAACATTCTGTTTGACTAGCAGCAAGTTTATTTAATAAGATGTCCCTAGGGACCGAGTCGAAAGCAGATGTATAGTCTAGGAAGGCAACACGAACAAATTTAGCCCCCTTGTCTAGACTGGAAGCAATGTTATGATATAAGACGGCAGCTGCATCTAAAGTGCTTCTACTGTGCTTATAGGCAAATTGTTTAGGGTCATTAAAGGATTTAAGCGAAGGTACAAGACTAAGTAAAAGTAATTTCTCCATAGTTTTCAAAAAAGGAGAGGTAATAGCAATGGGTCTAAATTTGACACATGCTCCAGTGGATGATTTAGGTATGGGTACAACTTTAATGTCCTTCCAAACGGCAGGCACAATATTATCGGAAAAAGATTTGTTAAATAGATCAGTAAGAGGGTGACACAGAATATCAGAACATTTTTAAAATAATACTAGGTACATAATCGGGACCTAAGCTCTGGGAAGGGTTTAGAGACTTGAGGCACTTTTGAACATCATTTGTGTTAAAACCTGGAAAGGGGCTATTATTAACACAAGTGATGCTGGGAAGCATGGCATTTGAGGGAGAGTAAATAAAAGATTTGTTAAGAGTACATACATCAAAAGAATATGGAATATTGTTTATCTGCTTACCACCAGTGATTTCCTTAAATAGTTTCCACATATTAGAAGGATTTTTGCAGGATATGAATTTCTGGTTATATATTACATTCAACCTCTGCATTTCAGACTTAATTAAGAAGTTAGTTCTTTTTACACCAATTTTATCTTTCATCTTATACAGTTTTTCCTTCTCTCTACGAAGCTTTTTAAGTTGAGGCGAGGAGAAACGGTCAAATTTGACGAATAGTGTTTCTTTTGGACAACAGATTTCAAAACAGAATTTCAGATAGGATGTAATATTAGAGATATTGTCATCAAGTGAATCATCATTAAACAAATCCCATCTTGTGTCACTGAGCATGTTTCTAAGATGATGTACGTTCTCATTTGAGTAGCATCTGTGAACAACTTTCTTAGACAAGTTTGAGAGGGCTTTACTGTGTAACTTTCCGTAAATTTTGGGTAAGACTCGTACAATACAATGATCAGAATTGAAGAGCGGGCTCTTTTACGAGCTTCGTATATTCCAGAATCATTTATAAATACTAAATCAAGTGAAGTATTTTGTCGAGTTGGGAAATTAACAACATTTTCATGGCCCAGCAATGTAATAAAACTGCAGTCGCTGGAGTTGAAGTCGCCAGTCACTATAGATAAGGAGTTACCAAACGAAGCAGCAGCAAAAATAGTGAATTCATCAGCGAAGATAGATAGTTCTGAGGGACTGCAACAAGGTGTGATATAGATATTTGTGACAAAAATGGAGCTATACTTAGGTAAGTGTTTAGGTCGACATTTTACAGTTATACAGTCAATATTGTCATTTGAGAATTTGAAGCAGACGTTGTTGGCAGTAGACCACTGAGAATTAATAAAAGTGGCAACACCACCACCTCTCTTCTTCTTTGAGCTGCATCGGTCTTGTCTGTAGATTGTGAACCCACTTAAGGAGACTAAATTATCGTCATATGAATTATGGAGCCAAGTCTCTTGAAGAGTGATTACACCAGTATTACAGTATACATCTCCTTTTCTATTCAACTTCATCATAGATGTGTTAATGGACTTAACCCTAGGTGACTTCAGTGACTCAGGAATTGACTTGCTACCGGGGAATAATCTCGTTGACTTGGAATATGCAGACGATATAGTCCTTCTAGGCGAAGACGCTGACGAAATGCAGAGTCTTCTAAACACCTTGAGCCGCAATCTACGAATGTTTGGCATGCGAGCGATTCGCTCCCGCCAAATGCAAGATGATGTTACAGGACTGGACTACATCGACGCCTAGTTTAAAAATAGGAAGTGAAGTGGTAGAGCACGTTGACCGCTTCACTTATTTGAGAAGTACCATCAGCCCCAACGGGCTGATCTCTGACGAAATCTCAGCACGAATACAAGGGGCTCGTTTCGCATTTGCCAGTTTACGCCGACTCTGGCGTAGACGAGATGTTCGACTATCGACCAAAGGGCGGGTGTACTGCTCATCTGTCCGCTCCGTCCTCCTTTATGGTTGTGAGACCTGGCCATTGAGAGTGGAAGACATGAAAAGACTAGCTGTCTTTGATCATAGGTGCCTGCGCTCTATTTCCCGTGTAAAGTGGCATAATAAGGTGAGCAACATTGAGG